TGCCAGGTGTGTTCCTATGCAACAATTTTGCATGTTCTTCACATGTACCCCAAAACCTAAAATACAATAAAATAAATAAATGGGGAAAAATAAATAAATAAATAAATAAATAAAACTAAATAAGTAAATGCTGCCCTTGCTAATTAGTTATCTTCAAATACAATTAAATCATGAGATGAGAAAGTATGGGTAGGAATGTGTCATTTACTTCACTTTGTAGACACTGCCTTTTTTTGTTTTTTTTTAAGAGTCTTCCTCTGTCACTCAGGCTGGAGTGCGGAGGCACAACCTTGGATCACTCCGTCTCCCAGGTTCAAGAGATTCTCGTGCCTCATCCTCCTGAATAGCTGGGATTACAGGCACACACCACCACACCCAGCTAATTTTTGTATTTTTAGTAGAGATAGGGTTTCACCATGTTGGTCAGGCTAGTCTTCAACTCCTGACCTCAAGTGATCCACCCGCCTCCCAAAGTGCTGGTATTACAAGCATGAGCCAACATTGCCAACTTCTTTTTAAAAATGCTTTGTTACCTCAACCAATTTAGAAGGTAGAGAAGGTTTAGGTGAACAAATAGGTCTTTAAAAATAACAAGATTTGCCTGGAGTCATGCAATTACTGCCAGGTAAATAAAAATATAGTATATTTCATGTGTCTTGTCAAGAACCACAGGTGTTTGCTGTGAGTAGAACTTAGATGAAAATCCTTTTATATCTTCTGTGCCCTGGCTCTGGGCTCAGCCAAAGAGGCTTGAACCCCAGACCAGACGCCTGGGCTATGAGAGCCTATGTCTGACTGACAGCTGCTAAGCAAAGGTCACCATCTTCCAGTAGGGAAAGCACCTGTGATATTGATTTCCTCAAAGCATTGGTCTTATACACGACTATATCCCAGTTCTCAGGAAAGCCTGGCAATAACAAGCCTCAGGATTACAGAATCTACATTTTCAACTGCAGTGAGACACACCTTTCATTTTTTCCTAAATTCTTAGCCACCTCTGAAGGTGACAGAGTTGGGGGCAGAGGCATGTCCCCTCCCCTAAGACTTCTGTAGTCCTTGTGGTCACACTAGACTTGTTCTGCACTCTGGTTGAGTTACAAGAGGGTCATGTCCAGTGACTTCTCCACAATTCTCAGTCAATCTTAGAACTTCTGTCATGTAAGGTCATCTGGGGCTTTCTCTCAACAGGTGATTAAAGAAGAAAATCTACAGGAAAACAGTCAAGAAGTTGGGACCTACATGTTGCTAAAGTTTGCTAAGCTGCAGGATGAGTTTGAAATTGTTGGAGACGTCCGAGGCAAAGGCCTCATGATAGGCATAGAAATGGTGCAAGATAAGGTAGGTGCTCATCTGCTCCTCTCTCTGCAGCTGCCTGGGGCCAGCAGGAGATAGAGGCAGAAGCATTGGCCAAACTTCATTTACTCTCAGGGAAAGAGTGCACACAAACAGCAAGATTTCAGCAAAGCCCTTTAGAGATTAGTAGAGAGTGTTGAGTATGAACAAAATGCTGGCAGATCATCAAGAATTCTAGAGGGATGAGGGAGAGCCTTTGGGAAAAGAAACCAACATTATCCTTGCCATCCTAGGCAAAGCACAAAGGCAATGACTGAATACTTAGAAATACAGGGAAGGGAGGAAGTTATTTGGGGAGGAACAGAAGAAAGTAAGAAAGAAGGGCCAGGAAAAGGTTATGGTGAAGATTTGAGGTGAAGATATTAAAGACATACTGGGGTGGTGGTGGTGGTTGTTGAGACACAGTCTTGCTCTGTCACCCAGGCTGGAGTGCAGTGGTGTGGTCTTGGCTCACCGCAACCTTGCCTTCTGGGTCCAAGCAATTCTCGTGCCTCAGCCTCCCAAGTAGCTGGGATTACAGGCATGCATCACCATGTTTGGCTAATTTTTGTATTTTTAGTAGAAATGGGGTTTTGCCATGTTGCCCAGGCTGGTCTCAAACTCCTGACCTCAAGTGATCTGCCCACCATAGCCTCCCAAAGTGCTGAGATTACAGGCATGAGCCACTGCATTTTGTGTTTGTTTGCATCCTTGCTTGCTTGTGAATGGATTTAATCTCCCAAGTAACCAGGGAGGAATGTTGCCCACAGAGACCTCTAACTCATCATAACAATAATTGAACGTAGCATCTTCCCCCAAACCAGAAATTTCTTTCAAGATCACTGTTTCTGTTTCTCACCCTGTACCATTCTCCAGTTACTCAGCCTCAATACCACAAAATGATCTGACTCCTCCTCTTCCCTTGTTTCTAACATCAAGACCCATTGATCCCTTCTCTGCCATGTCTCCCAAATCCTTCCCGGTGTTTCTACCGCAGCCTGACCAACAGGTGAAACCCCATCTCTATTAAAAATACAAAAATTAGCTGGGCATGGTGGCACATGCCTGTAATCCCAGGTACTTAGGAGGCTGAGGTAGGAGAATCGCTTGAACCCGGGAGGTAGAGGTTGCAGTGAGCCAAGATGGCACCGTTGCACACCAGGCTGGGCAACAACAAAAGTGAAATGCTATCTAAAAAAAAAAAAACACACACACACACACTAGGTCCAAATATACTGACAGGGAAAGATGTTCAAGATATACTATAAATTATCAAAAGGAAATTGCTGAACATTATAAAACGACTTTTTTTTAAACATGCATATAGATGTATTTGCATGCATAGAAAAAACATCTGGTTCACACCATATGTCAATAGGAGGTGTCCCTAGGAATAGGATGGGAAGCGAGGAGATATTCTGTTTTACTTTATGCACTTCCAGAACATTTGAATTTTTTTCAAAGATTAATTTTATAATTCTTTAAACATAGATTCACCAAAAAAGATAAACATGAAGCCCCATTATACACTCATCCAGAAGTTTATCACTAGCATGCCCACTTCATTATCAAGCAGTTGGGGCACAGGCATGGGCACAAGGGCCTCAGCAGGCTGCACTGTGGCTTTACCCTCAGCAGAGTTTCCGATCCTGCTTTTTTTCCCTGGGGAAGGCATACAAGATGTTCAATTAGTCATAGCAGTTGAGGCCAGGTAGGGATAAAATGGGCAAGAGAGCCAGGACGGTGCTGGCCCAGGGCAAGATTGGGGTGAAGCCACACAGACTCCATCCATTCAAAACTGTCATGTTGGGCCAGGCATGGTGGCCACACCTGTAATCCCAGCACCTTGGGAGGCCAAGATGGAACACTTGAGGTCAGGAGTCCAAGACCAGCCTGGCCAACATAATGAAACCCTATCTCTACTAAAAATACAAAAATTAGCTAGATATGGTGGCAAATGCCTGTAATCCCAGCTACTCAGGATGCTGAGGCAGGAGAATCACTTGAGCCCAGGAAGAGGAGGTTGCAGTGAGCCAATATCGTGCCACTGCACTGAAGCCTGGGTGACAGAGTGAGACTCTGACCCAAAAAATAAAACAAACAACAACAACAACAACAAAAGAACTGACCCCCACAACCCAACCTTCCCTCCGGATTACTCTCCAGGGTCCCTCTGGCCTCTGGCGTCTCAAATCATATTTAATGTCCTTCTAGTTCTCACAGTTTAGCCCTAAATCATTTTCATCGTCCCTTTCCAATCAATCATAAGCAAGAATGCAAGATAGCATTTTGGGTTCAGTGAGAAGATTCTAGTCTTTCCTTCTCCCTCGGGTCCTTTCTGATCTAATAGTCTGAAAATTTGAACATGTATTTTGCTTATCTTAAGGCTTTCAGACAGACCAAAATGCGCATATCTCTCAAGGAGGCCCAGACTTACTCTGTTCTCAGCCAATGACATCTTACAAGAAATGGAGGATTGGGGAAGGAGCTGGATCTGGGGTTGGTGGAAGAAGGAAGTGGATGCCAAAGCCCCAGAGCGAGGGTGGGTGGGAAGTGCGGAGGAGGTAATGAAGCTGGGCACCCTGGAGGGGCCCCGCCTACCTCACAAGGGTCAGTCGCAAGGGCTGCCCCAGAGCAAGGCTCAGGTCTTATGCATCTAAAACCGGAGGGCCAGCCTGGTGCAGAAGCTCAATGGGGCTGGCCTATGGAGAAACAGGAGACCAGTAGCAGCGACAGGTCTCAGCGCTCATCGTGGGAAAAATTAGAGATGCGCTTAGCCCAGGCACCTGACGACCATTTTAAAAATGCAGCGGACGCGCTGACTCACTCCTGTAATCCCAGCACTTTGGGAGGCTGAGGCAGGCGGATCAAGAGGTCAGAAGTCGCGATCAACCGACCAACATGGTGAAACCCCGTCTCTACTAAAAATACAAAAATTAGCTGGGCGTGGTGGCCAGCACCTGTAATCCCAGCTACTCCAGAGGCTGAGGCAGGAGAATCGCTTGAACCAGGGAGGTGGAGGTTGCAGTGAGCCGAGATCGCGCCATTGCACTCCAGCCTGGGCTACAGCATGAGGCTCTGTCTCAAGTTTAAAAAAAAATGCAGATGCTTAAGCTCTGCTTCACATATTCTAATACGATTGGTCTAGCGTGAGACCCAAATACCTGTCGTTTGAAAGTCTTCCAGGTAATGCCGACACGCTGTCAGGCATGACATGACTAAGTCAGAGAGAGGTTTATACTCCCGGGCGCAGAAGACAGGAGATGTATAGAAAGGCTGCAAGTCAGCCCAGTGTCTGACTCCACAGGGAGGGGACCTGTTTCTGGTGCCTGGGGATCTGACACAGCCTCTCAGCTCCTGGAGCATTTACCTTTCCTTAACCCTGGAGGATGCAATCTTGGGGGAGAAAGAGCAAGTCCCACGAGCAGGGAAAATGAGGACAAACCAGCTCCTCCTCAGCTGTCTCCCTCCCCTCCAGCGCTGCCCAGGAAAAGCTCAGGCTGTTGGTGCCTTTGTGCGACTTCTGAGCCATTTCCTGGACTTTGAAACAAGCCCTTTCCATGGGGAGAACAAAGTGAAGAGTTAAGGAGAATTTCCACATAAAACAGACTCCAAATTTAGCTGTTAAGGAGTCAGATCCCCAAGGTAGCCGTTACCAAAGCTAAGATTCACTGGCTATCCCCACGGAACTTCATTTTGTCTTTTGGGAATTTGGGATAAATTGGGATTAAAAACAGACTTTTTTTTTTTTTT